CAGATACTAACACAATATGAAATACGATTTAAATACCTGAAAATCAGCTTTCAAAATGACTTAACTCCCTTTTTCACTCGTGTATCAACGACGTCACATTTTTATTTCACATCACACACACATACACCATAGCTTAGATTTTTACGTTAATCGAAAGTTAATGTTGAGTGTGTGCGTTATTTATTATTTTATTTTTATTATTGTCGATACATACAACGAGAATTACAGACGTTATCGAGTTATTTGGGAGTGCTTATTGAGAATGTGGCATTAATTTGTAAATCCAAGATGGTTGCCAAGAATTTTCATAAATTTATTTTTGGTAATCCTTCTGGAAATGGCATTTATATCTGAATACATGATGGCTGACACGACTTTTAGCATTTCTAAATGCCAGATGGCGGGTACGATTTCTCAAATAATGGCAAGTTGGGTATCATTTTCGAGATACTTCGGCGTGCTCATTGCGAATATAGCACTTATTTGTAAAAGCAAGATGGCGGACACGATTTTTCAAAAAATGCAACATGGGTATCATTTTCGAGGTATTTGGAGGTGCTCATTACGTTAATAGCACTTGTTTGTAAATCCAAGATGGCAGACACGATTTTTCAAAAACGCAATATGGGTATCGTATTCGAGGCTTTTGTGGGTGCTCATTACGAATATAGCTCTTATTAGTAAATCTAAAATGGCGGACACGATTTTTCAAAAAAATGCAATATGGGTATACTTTTCGAGGTATTTGGGGATGTTCATTACGAATATAGCACTTATTAGTAAATCCAAAATGGCGGACACGATTATTCAAAAAAATGAAATATGGGTATCGTTTTCGAGGTATTTGGGGGTGCTCATTACGAATATAGCACTTATTAGTAAATCCAAGATGGCGGACACGATTTTTCAAATAAATGCAATATGGGTATCGTTTTCGAGGCATTTTGGGGTGCTCATTACGAATATAGCAATTGTTTGTAAATCCAAGATGGCAGACACGATTTTTCAAAAAATGCAATATGGGTATCCTTTTCGAGGTAATTGGGGATGCTCATTACTAATATAGCACTTAAATACAAATACAAATACAAATATCTTTATTTACCATACATAATTACAATAAAGTTACAACATACAGTTTTGCTAAAACAGTTGTTCAGGGTGTAATTTGCCAGTGGCTGCCACACTAGGGAAACCCTGTATCGTGGGAGCCAAGTGTTACAGTAAGTGGTGTAGTTTGAAACAATTGAGCAAGTAACAACGGATGGTACGAATTTAATTATATATTTTTTTTTAGTAATTGTGATTATTTTTAGTTGTAAGCATTAAGTATTTTTTTCTATTATTGAATAACTATTAGGTACTATTTGAAATATAAAATATAATATTTGTTTGCAAAGTACACAAGGGAAAATTGGAGAAATTGATTTTGTGTGCGGGTTTGTGTGGGAGTGTGTTTTTGTGAGAGAGTGTTTGACTGTGTGTGAGTGTGAGAGTGCGTGTTGAGAGCGTATGATGATGAGGATGTGTGCTGTGAGTGTTTATGATTGAGTGTGCGTGTGTGAGTGTGTATGATGATATGCGTATGGTTAACCTATTATTTTAAGAATATTTTCCGTGTCTTGGTATGATAATTTGAGTATCCAGTTGGTGAGAAGAACTTTAGCCTTATAAATACGACAGGTTTTTATTTCAGGGATGGCGCCAGTGATTCTATTGTAGATGAGAGGCAACTTAAAGGCGAGGTGGTTCCTGGCGAAAGCCGTTTTAACGGAATTGGTCGGTATTTGAAAGACTCTTTTTTGCAATAAAACCGAATAGTTCGGTGAACTAATCGTTGACTTGTGAGCCATTAAAAATACTTTTAGAAAGTAAATTTGGCGGACGTTTAAAACTTGAGCTTCCGAATAAAGGTCTATGGTGGGATGCCTGCGATGCCTCCTGAGCATGACCTTAAGTATCGAACGCTGAGCTCTTTCGAGCCCAAGCATAGTAGAAACACCCACCCCACCCCACACCGAAATACAGTAGCCTAGGACAGACTGACACAGGGCGATGTACACGGATGTTAGCGTAGGCTTGTCGGCAGACTTACTCAAGAGGCGCATGATATGCGTTAGTCGTCTGGTTTTTGTTATCTGCCATGCGATGTGCTGCCTAAAGGAAAGTCTGTCATCGATCTGAACCCCAAGATACCTTATATGTTCTGATCTATCAATAGAGTAGCAAGAACAGGAACTGGTGCAATTGTGTATTTTTAGTTCGGTAGGCGCCAATGGTTTAGAGGCCGCGGTTTTGTGAAAACAGAGATATTTTGTTTTACAAAGATTCAACGTGAGGAGATTGCTGTCAAGCCATTCCTTCAAAGACGACATCCCAGATTCCGCCGACGCCAGTGCCTCGCTCCAGGTATCGCCGTGAAAAACTGCCACCGTATCATCCGCATAACATATCAGCTCAGGGCCCTTGATGTCATGGATATCGTTTATGTACATAACGAAAAGTGTCGGTCCAAGGACACTGCCTTGCGGCACCCCAAATACTACCGGTAGTTGCTCGCTTAGGTGATCGCAAATCCTGACCTGTTGGAACCTGTCGGTAAGGTAGCTCCGAAACCAGTCCAGCACTATCCCTCTAATACCAAAAAGCTCCAGCTTTTTAAGCAGTAATGGGACCGAAATTGTGTCGAACGCCTTCGCAAGATCGAGAAAGACACCAAGGGATTTTTGCCCTTTGTCCATACTCTTTGAAACCAGCCCTACCAGAAGTCCGACGGCGTCCTCTGTCGAGAGCCCACCTCGAAACCCAAACTGACGATCAGATAATAGGTGGAATTTCTCTAAGTATTTCATTAAACGTGTGTTGACTATTCTTTCTAAAATCTTTGAGAAAATTGGCAGCAGGGATATGGGCCTGTAGTTTTCTGGTAGTGTTTTGGGACCGGACTTGTGTATGGGTATCAACACTGCTACCTTCCAACTCTTAGGAAAAGTTCTACTACTCAGACTGAGGTTGTAAATGTGTGTTAGTGGGACCACTATTTCGCTGCAGGCATCTTTTATGATCGATGGCTTAATGCCGTCACTACCTGGGGCGCTATCCAGTTTAAGCTGAGATATAAGGGCCGACACTTCGAATATGTCAGTTGGTTGCAGAAATAAGTTATGATGTGTACTGCCTAGCGTTTTATACTGTGCGGCCAGAGATTCCTCCGATGTACTCAAGTTGTTTAGGAGCCTGTCAGATAGATTTTTTCCAACATTGGCGTAGTAGTCGTTACAGTAACTAACAGATTCCTTTGCAGACGGCCGTGCGTTTAAAAGAGAGGCAGAGGACTCTCTTGAAGGAGGAGATTCTATAATAGTCTTTATAGTCTTCCAGAGATTTTTGGGGTTATTGCGGTTTCCTGCCAGTTCACGGCGTTCATAATCTTGTTTTAGGCTGTGTAGGAGGTCTGTGAGAAAATTTCGATACCTATTATAAACACGTTTACGTATCGGATCATCTGGGTGCTGTCGGAGGTCAAGGTGCAGCTTGTCTCTGTGAACCATGCATCTCAAGAGACCTTTAGTAATCCATGGTTTTAAGACAAGTGTTGACCTGCTTAGACGTTTGGTAGATGTGTTGTTATTAATTATGGTCGTAAGAATGTGGTTGAATTCTGTCACTGCTACATCCACGTCGACGGCAAGCATTACAGGTGCCCAGTCCGCAGCCCCCAGATCTCCAACAACAGCCGAGTGATCTGTTATGATTTTATAACGATTGCGACTAGGTTTTGTGTTCGGAATCGCAAGGCCCAAGATTACAAGGTCATGATCAGAAATAGCTAAAGCCGCCACGAGGCCGACGACACGGTCAGCCCTCGAGCGAATAAAGAAGTGGTCGAGACAAGCGTCAAGTCTAGTTGGCTTTGTAATAGCTGGGAGAAAGCCCAATTCGGCCATGAGACACGAGTATTCATTGACAGATGGATCGAGACAATCAAGGATGTTTATATTAATGTCTCCTGTGACGATGACGCGGGAGTTATGAATGGGCTCCAGTAATTCTGACAAACCCGTTATGAAATTTTTGGTGTTGGCAAAAGATGGGGAACGATAAATGCCGATTATGGTGGTAGCATTTGGTAGTGTTACTCTTAGGCAGTCTGCATCGGGAAGGTTCGGCTCCTCTACCGTCGCACATATGTCGTTCCTGACGTACGCCACCACGCCTCCCGCTCTGTTGTTTGTAAGTACAGTGTGATAAGTTCTATAGCCCGGAATTTGAGGAATCACTGTGCCCATGGAGAGCCAGCACTCAGTGAGTATTATAACATCTATGTCGAGCTTAAGGCGCTCCAGAGCCACAATGAATGCGTGTAAGTTCTTCTGGATACTCCGTATGTTATAAGTGACAGTTCTGAAAGGGAATTCATTCAGCCTATTTTTGCAATCCTCAAGCTTGTTACACTCATAACAATCAATGGTTAGTGAGTCGTCTATGTCATTTACTATATTTTGATCTATCGGTGCCATTTATATAAGTATTGAAGTAAAGAAATTACTTTTTTTTTTTCTTTTCTTTTTACACAGTCTGATGTCATGAGTGAAACACCGGAGGACAGTAAGACAACTGTTTGGTGAAGGCGACCGGGATACCGATATGAGTTTGATAGCAGATGAGGCAGTGATAGAAAATCGTGTCCTGATCCATTGGGACAACGACTCCTCGTATGTGATCTACAGTCTTTTAGTTGTAGGACATGTTCGTGGCGAACGTTTATGTTAGGTTTTAATCGAGTGCGTGAAATAGTGTTTGTGTGAGTAATTGAAAAAGAGTCGGTGTGTGCCCTAAAGGGTATAATGGTGTGTAAGTCTGAAAGTGTGAGTGGGTGGTTTGTGAAATATAATAATGACTCTGCAACAAAAAGTATAGTGAAAGATAATACACTTGCTAGAACATATTGGTTATGAGCGACGCGCGCGAGGAATTCTGAGTTGAGATTGTCCATGCTTTTATGAGATTTCATGTTGCATAGGTCCCACGGTCTTGTCGAGGTCTTCGTATGATTTGATTTGGACTGCTGGTTTTCTCTCTGCCTGGCGTACAAAAATATGTCCATTTCTGATCCAGCAAAAACGAAAGCTGTGTTGAGTAGCGCGTTTTCTTGACTCACGAAATAACAGACGATTATTTTTTGTTAGTCTTTCGTTCACGTATACTTGGGATGCTGGTCCGGGCACCAGATTCTCACTTGTGAGATTTCTGCGGCTTTTTGCCGCTTTAACTAGCTCGTCACGTTTTGCCTGTCTTAAAAGTCTCAGTACAATGGTGCGCGGTAGGTGATTTTTATTCCCGGATGATTTTTGCTTGGGTCCAGCTCTGTGTACAAAATCGATGTCACTGTCTTGTAAGTCTACGCCAAGCTTTTTGGCTGTGATAAGCGCCAGGTGGAAGGGGTTCTCGCTTTCAACTTCTGGGATTCCAGCTATTTCTATCTCTTTGCGTAAATAGTTTTGTTCCTGTGCGTTAATTGTTACTTCAGTTGTTTTAAGGGAGTTCCGTAGTATATTTATTTCTGCGGCTTGCTCTGTAATTTTGTGCTCGAAAATTTGAATTTTCTCAGAGAGTTGAGAAATTGATGATAATTGTTCCTTTAACTCTGATAAATCCTGTCTGAGGAGTCCCATCTCCTGGTTTTGTTTGAACACCTGTGCCCGTAGTTGTTTAATTTCTGACAGCATTTCCAGAGTGTGGTCTGTAGGGGGTATATTTTCTGTTTGCTTTTTAGTTTGACCCTTTGAAGATCCTCTCTTGGTGTTGACATTGGGGCTTGGCGAAAACATCCTGGCCGGACTAGGAGAAACTGCTGTTTCTGAGTTTCCGCTTTTTGGAAGAGAGCACGCGCATGCAGGGCATGTCCAGTTGTCCAACTGAGCTTTAGTTAGATGATCAAATGCTTCTTAGTCTATTTGAACACACAGCGTGTGATATTTATTTTTGCATTTTGTACATGCTAGGTTTACCGGATCTTGTGGGTTAGCAACCCCGCAGGCATGGCAGCCAGAAGCAGGCATTGTAGAAGAATCAATTTTTAGTAAAAATTGTGTACCTCGATTCCGTGTAGTCGCGTAGCCGTCGCTCAGGAAGCCGCTAACCGTAACGATGCGTTGCGCTGTAGGTAGACACGTAGTTGATAGCCGCGTAGCACGTAGCTGTTTTGTGGGCGGAGTCTCTAAGGCGCTACACGGTGCGGCAGGCAAGTAACGACGTCGACTCAGCTGCTACAGTTCGTTGTTGTTCGATGCTAGTTGGAGTTGGCGGTGTGCGCGGGCGGCGAGGAAGTCGTTGGACCGGTTTTGCCGCGATGCACGATGCGCCAAGTTAGACACCTTATGTGCGGTAGGTCATGTCCGCGGCCGTTGATAAAAATTATTTAGTTTGTTTCTGTTGTAATTTCTATGATATAATTCTGATTCCAAAACGGTTTTCGCTGTTGTGTGGGAAATAACTTTCACTTCAAAATCATATAATGTTTATATATACAACGAACTTTTAGCACTGGTATTCGGAATTTAACTTGAGACAAAAACGAAGTACGTGTCGACGTTGTTACGCCCGAGAGGCAATTTGATTATTTTATAATTTATTTTTAACTTATTAGTTAATCCAAGATGGCGAACACGATTTTTCTCAAAAATGCAATATGGGTATCGTTTTCGAGGTACTTGGGGATCTCATATTATTAAAAAGGATGGACGTAGATGGTAGAGTGAAATACGTTGATTTAAAGAGACATGTTTATTTTTCGGTCTCCAGAATATAAGTGCGTAAATAATACAATATAAAATAAAATGTGAACTTAAATGCTAACCAAGCAATACGCACCACATGTTGCAGTTAGACTATAAATATAGTCTATCTATACTACATTATAGGGGTTCCAGAGAAAAAAAATGTGTTGCGTGTTACTTGTTAAAACACATTTTTTTTAAAACTTAATTACAAGAAATTCTTAATAATTACATAACAGTCCAACAAAAGTTTACTAATTAATTTACAAACAATTTAGTATTATTCTTATGTGTTATATATTCTTTGCCATCTTTCAAAATTTTTACATTTGGTGACAAATCTTCAATAACAATATATGGTCCTAAATAAATGTTATCTAATTTACTCCGTACTTGGTTTTTCAACAAAACGAAATCATCTTTCTTATATTTTACAGTATTCAAATGTTTATCGTAACTTATCTTTCTTAAACTTTTCCCATCTAATAAATTATTTCTAGTGTCGGCCTGTGCTCGTTGTAACCTGTATCTTAGTTGTAAAGGATAAGCATCAGGATTATATAAAGGTTGTACATCAGAACACAACAAATTATTTGGCAGATTACAAAGTTTTCCAAACACTAGTTCGTATGGAGTGTATTGTGTCTCGGTATGCACGGTTGTATTATATGAAAAACACCAAAATGGTAGCCAAGTGCTCCAGTCAGTCGAATTATTACTACACTGTATCCTAAGAAACACTCCTAAACTTTTATGTGTGTTCTCTAACGAACCTATAGTTTCATGGTGATACGCGGTCGAGTGAAGTTTGTTAATTTTTAATAATTCACATACTCCAACCATAACTGACGACATGAACTCTGTGCCTTGGTCCGTAATTATCTCTTTTGGGATACCATATCTCAATATAAAATTATTTACAAATAAACTAGCAACTGACACTGTATCCTTTTTTTCTAGCGGATACGCTTCTACATATTTAGTAAAGTTACATTGCAGAGTTAAAATATATTTACTATTATAATTATCAATATCTAAAGGTCCCATTAAATCTAAACTAACCCTTTCAAACGCTGTACTAGGAGTAGTTGTAATAACCATCGGTTCCCTAGTATGCCTGTTCGAGTGTTTCTGAATTTGACAACTCTTACATTTTCTTACGAATTCTGTGACGTCATTAGTAATTCCTGGCCAGTAGTAATATTTATTAATATTATTCAGCATCCTATTTACCCCCGCGTGGCCACTGGTGGGTAATTGATAAAAGACATTCAATATTACAATTTTAGTATCTTTTTCAGGTACTGTTACTTCGTCATTCAATACTAATATCTTAGGAAAATCACTTAGCTTATTAATTTCCTTTAATAATATATTTATAAAATCTTTATGACGCTTTCTTTTTATAATAACGAGCTCGTTTAATTTTATTTCTTTACAAAAATCTTGTAATTCTCTTGCTAACACCCTTACGGTAGATAACGATCGAGACATTACATAAATAGCCGATTTATCGGGCACAAAAACAAAAGAACCATTTTTATTATACAAGTTCTGTAAATTCACTATCTGCTTCATTGCAGTCTTATTTGTGCTTAATATTAGTTCTACGCTGTCAGTCGGTCGTTTGAGAATTTCCACTACTTTAGGTTGATCAAGCCTAGAAGCGGTGTGATTCTCACGTGTCAAGTCAATAATATTGTCATTATTAAATTTTCGAGCTTGTGCTCTTGTCATGACTGATACAACATGCTCATGCATATCTTTCAATTCCTTAGAGTTCATCGGTATGTGGCTCAATGCATCTGCAGCTGCGTTGTGCCGTCCCGGAACATAACTGATATCAAAATCATACTCTTCCAAATAGAGTCTAAACTTTGTTAAACGGCTTGATGAATCGGTCATATTAAATAAATAAATCAAAGGCCTGTGGTCAGTTTTTATTTGAAACTTCTTGCCATACAAATAGGGCCTAAAATGACGCACAGCCCACACAATAGCCAGTAGTTCGAGTTCGATGACTGGGTATCGTGTTTCAGCTGGTCTTAGATTACGACTTGCGTACGCTACTACCTTGCCATTACTATTAGACAAAACGGCGCCTAAACCTAGCTTTGATGCGTCTGTTTGTAAAACAAACGTATTACCTTCTGAGAAGTCTGGATAATCTAAGATGGTAGGACTAAGTAGGATTTCTTTAAGTTTTTGGAAAGCCTTTTCACATTCAGTTGACCAGTTAAAAGAGACATTTTTCTTACATAATGCATTAAGTGGATGTGCTATTTCTGCGAAATTAGGTATAAATCTCCTGTAATAGTTAGCAAACGCTACAAATCGTTTAATATCATCTACACATGTTGGAACAGGATATTTCTGTAAAACATCTACTTTCGATGGGTCGGGAAAAATTCCATCTGAAGTTATATTGTGGCCTAAATAAATAATTTCTTTTTGCAAAAATTCACACTTTAATGGGTTTAATTTCAAGTTAACTTGTCTAAATCTTTCCAGTACTTCAACAAATATTTTTGTTATGGGTTTCAAGGCTATTACCAACTACAATACAGTCATCTAAATAAATTAGACATGCCTGGTAGTTCAAACCCGTCATGGCTATAGTCGTCAGTCGTGTGAAAGAACTAGGAGATGTTTTTAATCCCATCGGGCATCTGTTCATTTGATATTGTTTGTCAGTTGTAAAAGCTGTATATTTCCTAGATTGTTTTTCTAAGGACAACTGATAATAACCTTGTGATAAATCTAATTTAGAAAAATATACATTATTTGCCAAAGAATCTAAAATGTCAGTTATATTCGGTAAAGGGAATTTATCATCCTGTATTACGTTGTTTAAGTAACGATAATCCACAACTAATCTCCATTTTTTCTCTCCTGATCTATCTGTCTTTTTGGGAACTAACAAAACTGGACTTGACCACTCTGATGTGGTTTCCTCAATAATATCATTCTTTAGCATATCGTCTACTTGTTTCTGTATTTCACCTTTAAGTGCCTTAGGTAGCTTATAAGGCTTGGTATACACTGGTGAGGTATTGTCTTTTAATTTTATGGAATGTTCATATAAGTTGATAGTAGACAATGTATCGCCTGGTAAATGAAAAACGTCGGCGTATTTAGCGCACAGGTTTTCTATACTTATCTGCTCCTCTTCATTTAAATAAGAAGGCAAGTTAAGTAAATTAAAAAGTTATCTGATTCTATCTGGCGATATCTTCTCATCATCAAATTGGTATACGTTATAATAGTTTAAACTATGAATATCTACATCTTTAATATTACTCTGACTAGTTTGTCAGTCGTATTGAGCATGCGAATTGGAATAAGTCTGTGGGGTATTCGTACATACATACATACATACATACACACATATATACATCATACATACTTATTTACATACTCGTTCATACACAAACTAATTTATATTATAATTACCACTTACCTTTCCCCGTGTCGTATTAGCTGTTCACGTTGTATATTGGAACCGAGCACTTCGAACTCGTTTCTATTGTTCTCGCGTGACGTAGGACCAACCGGTCCTAGCGCTGGCCGGCCATCCGCTCGCCCCGCGCTAGTCGAGACCTACCTTCTATGCGACGCGGAGCTCACGCTAAAATTTACTTGCTTATGTACCTTGCGCTTACGCTGTTATATACTGTTTCAAATTCTATTCTCTTCACCTATCTTTTCTGACTGTATTTCTCGCTATTGCCTGTGCTAGTGCTTGTGCTAATTTCCTTTTTGTGCCTTCTGTATTTTGTGTTGTTGTGGACAGACATTACACGTATTCTACCACACGTAAGTAGGACTATTTATTTCTACCGTTTACCGGACTGTACGTCAACTGTACCCAAAACAACCACAAGTCCATACTTTGGTTTCACAATTACTCCGGCTGTGTACACACCTTTATGTACTTGTTTTGCTAAGACAACGCATTCACTGATGTGTGCCGTAGGTACGTGTCGAATTACTTCACATCGTGGAGGAATTATTATTTGATTTTTATCAAACTGAACAGTTACGTAGTGGTCCTGGTTTTCCAAACTCAAGGTACCATCTTTGTAACTCAACACTGCGTTATACTTTTGGAAAAAATCTTGGCCGAGTATCCCGTCTGCGGAGCAAGCTAAGTTCTTGAAAACATAGAACTTTTGTTTAAAAATTACGCCTTCAAGTTTTATATCTAAGTAAATATAAACTTCTGATTCTAAATTACCACTTATC